AGGTAGTACCTAATAGTTATAATAAATGCACCTAAAGTCAAAACCAAACATCTTTGAGAATTCAACCAATTTTGAAACAATGTATGGTAAATACAAAAATAATGAAACTCTACATTCAACTATTTTTTTCCAAAAACATAATTCGATAGAACAATATTGAAAATCAAAATAAGCAATTTTATTCCAGTAGATTTATGCTGAGTTATTCGGTACTTGAAGGTTACAACGAAATATTTTGAGAAATTATGCAGTGTTATATTTTAGTCATACCTTATATGTATCGTATATTGTGTATGCATTATAGAGTGACTCGACGTATTCGTCTTCGTTTATATTCTCTCGTTGACAATAAATTATACTACTTTACCAGCCTCTTAAAGCCTACTATTCCCATAGCTATTTGAACAATGAATGGATATTACACTAATTCAACTTTGAAAATGTCTATAAATAATAGCTATGTGATTCGATTTTTTTAAGAACTGTGAAATTAAAAACTTTGAATTTAAGTGAACCCAAAAGTAGAAAATAGAAATTAAATTGTATTGATAAGGATTTAAAATGTAGTAATAAATGTATAAAATAATATTTCAAAAGTAATAATTAAAAAATGATGTTATTGTTGAATGGTGGGAACAAAGGTGGTCAGAATACACTGTTTAATATGTTATAGTTTTTCATTTTCACTCAGAAACTGCAGCAGTCGATATGTCACTCCAGATTGACGTTGACAGCCGATGCGCGAGCAAACGTAATAATTGGTGTTGTTCAAAAAGAAAAGTATTCTCAACCACGTTGTATCTATTAGCACGCAGAAAAGTTTCAAAATGTAATTCCCAAACTGTTAGGAAAATATTTAATGATGTGGTGCAACCATTATTACCAACTTTGGATGTCTTATTATACGAGTTGAGCCTTGAGGGTCCACAGAAGTATGGCTGTGAACTTTTGTTTTTTGCTGATGCTGCACTGTATATTTATGTCAAAAAGCTGCCGATTTTCGATTTTAAATATTTAATGTAGCGGTATAATAGGTACCGACTTAATTTTGTTTGTTTATACCTTTCTGTAATCTGCTGTGGACATAGGTAATCTCTAGAACTTTAGAAATGTGTTAAAACTGCAAAATATTTCATAGTTGACAAAATATATTGACACTGTTAAATAATAAAAATAAAACATACCTATTCATTTTAAGTGATCATTGATTACCTACCTAGTAATAAAAGTGCTTTTAGGTTTTACCGCAAGAAGTAAGAACTAATAACTATTGGGGAATGTAGTTAATTATTATAAAATACTAATATAATTTTGTAATAACAATATTAGTAATACATAATATAATAATTGTATGCTTTGTAATCGTGGATTATTAAAATTTACAATCTAAATAAATAACAATATCTATTACTCGTTGCACAGTCAATGAAGATTAAAAAACTAAAGAACTGTTTAAGATAAAATAAAAATTGGTATATATTATTCAAAAGACTCTCAGTATCTCACCCAATCACCAAGCTCGAAAATTTAATTTAATAACTCTCAGCAGTTTATAAATTTTAATGTTTAAAAAGAACAGTCCATTAAAATAAAACGGGAGACTTATAAATTGAATAAAAAATTAAAAGTCCTCAGAAAAACCAAAAAATAAAATATATCAAGGATTTAAAATACTTCTATCAATACGAAAGTATCAATAAATGGTGAATTAGTAGGCGACTATTAATCTATACTTAAAAACTTTGATTGTTCTTTAGACCTTATAAAATGTAATGTTAATATGAATTTCAACAAGTTGGTTTGCTACGTATTTCCGTTAAGCGATTAATAATTTTGAAAATTTTAAACATCACGTACAGCATAAAAAGTCCTAGTCTATAGCTTGAAATGTTTAACGTGTATAGTTGTGTACATTAACAAGAACTTATTGTAATTAAGTGTATGATAAATTGTTTACTGTCATTTTTGAATAATTAAAAAATAAAATTTGGTACTCATTTACAGTTTTTATTTCATATATTATAGGGTCACGCGTTGCCTTATTTAACAGTCAATTTGAAACATAAGAAATTATGTTTTATCAAATATCTATTCATTTCCATACAATTGAATTATAAAGTTTATTTTATTAATGTTAAAAAAGAACAGTACTCGGCATATTCTCCGTTTACACAACTCTGTGGAAACTCTTAGTCGTGATTTAAAGCCGGACACCGAGGAATAAATTATATTGGCAGTGAAAACTTTACCAGCCCTCGCGTTGTATATATTTTAGCAACGTGTGGGCGGTGAGAAAGAAAGAGGGTTTGATTCACGAGTAAACGTTTCAAACTGGAGCCAAAATATTCGTACGTGTACCAGTGTATACCGCGGTATACCCACTTGCTCGAGTGTGTGTTTGTGTGTCTGTGTGTCTGTTTGTTTGTGTGTGTGCGTGTGTGTGTGTTTGGCGTATTTTGATTTTCGACCAACCGTTAGGGAGATGTTTTCGGTGTAGGTATTTTCACCCCGCTCTGAGGTTTAAAAAAGTACAAAAATAAAACTAATCTAAACTTGTCGCATGAAAAATTCCTCGGCGTTATGAAAACCAGACGAGTGACTGTCCTAGATTTATCGCACGCGCTTACACGGCGCATATATACACACGCACAATAGATGTCATGAATTTTTTAGCGCGTAAAATTAATCCTTTTCAAAGATGGACGGTGTTTACCGTGCACGGTAAAATAAATATCAAGTAAAAAAAAATAAAAGAGACTAGTGCACTGTACATCATACTTGATATTGATGTACATACCACCGAGATACCGGTACTACTTAAAGTCGAACTTTTGTAACCATTTCTGAGACTTTCGTGTCTTTTTCGCTTTTCTAGTATTTTGTACTGTAAGTTTATGTTTGAAATGGATTTTTTTTAAATTTTGAACGCGATCTCGTGATTAAACATCAACATAGGGCTAGACAAAATCAGTAGGTACTAGGTAATACAATAACAGAACATACAATAATTATCATCATTAAAAAATGAAACGATCGGCAAAAACAAGTACTGCCGCAAACAACAATGAAGATTTGTAACTGGATTTCAATGAAATAAACGAGATTTTATTCCATCTGTTTATTATTATTATTGTTGTTATGTCATTTCATTTGTATATTATTATCTTTCATCGTATACGAAACGTGTGCAGTATATCATATGGTATTCATGCGGGACTTATTTCACAGAGACATACAAGTGCATGAATCACCGTTGCCAAAGAATCTGTAATCGGATGAATGCTGTTTGCTCGTACAATAAGACCGTATCGAGACCGTAGAGCCAAATATCAGAAATCTTTTCGTAAAATAAGACGTCGTCCTTAACAATAGCATTTTCCGTATAATCCGAACACAATATTCATGATAATTTAATCGCGTATTATGACGCATGTGCTGTAAAATGTATGACATGATGAAATTATTTAATTTCGTTTTCTTCGGTCTGGCCCGGAAAGCCTTTCTTCTATCTAGACATTCGAATTGATAAACACGGTTGCTAATAGAAATCGCACGCCGACGAAACTTTTCTAAAAAATCTTGCCTAACTCGCTCGAGTTATCAAGCCGGGATCCCAGTTATGTCGTCTGTCGTGTCGTGTGCAAAATTTGAATTCGTCCCAACTCGGGAAATTTCTCGGTCGATCATAATATGGTTAGTGAATGATACCATGTTTATTGATTGCAACGGACAATCAGAATACGATAGAATGCACACAACACGACATACGATTCATAACTATGTGAACTCGTCTTCGATGTGAACGAAATAAAACCATTACCTAGGCCCTAGAATATCAGTATTTGGTATTAGAATCCATATAATTCGAATAAATAATGAAATTATTTAGCGATTATAATGAGCTATTAGAATTTCTGGTATTTTTTTTTTTAAAAATATTATATACACCTAAAGCCTACAGGTTGTTTGTTTTAATTCATATTTTTTGATATTTTGCAACATTGATCAACAATAAACACAATATATTATGTTCACAAAATGACTGGATTGAAATGACTTTAACTTCTTCAGCCATGTAATCCCAATTGCCAAAAGACATAAAATATTTTGATAAAATTATCATAATTGATTATATTGACAATTATTTGTGAATTATATTATTATTAATAATCATTTTTATTGAATGGAATTTTAGGCAAGTTTTGTGTATTATATTATTATAATCTTTTGACTTTTTTTTTATTTTAATTCCTTTTGAAATAACCGTCATTCATAAAAACTACCTATGAATTGTATACACTTCTAGTTGTATTGATTCCAGACACTTTATCTTAAAGGTATTATATTTATTTTCAAAAAATATCCCTGACCAATACCTATTCATCTGATTATAGTGTGGTTTGGTTAGTTATAAGACAATGTTACAACTTACAAGATTTATTATCTCAACTTATATAATATATATTTATAAAGTAAGATATTTGAGAGTATAGAAATGTAATATTATATACTATATTTAATCCATAGTATGTAACGGGATAAACCGTCACTATATTAAAATGGTCCTTTTCAGGACCACCAAATACAACAGTATGGCAACATAATGCGACACAAGAAATAAACGCGACACACTAGAATAAGTAGTTTGCCAACAGGAAAGTTTCAAGGAAATAACTAGCAAGAACCACATTAACGAAGCGAACACCAATGGGTCAAGGTGTGGTTATTGCTTATCAAAGCAACCATTCCCGACCAATCACAGGACAACAAAGGGAAACAAATAGTATATATACCGGGACAGTTCACCGGTCAAATGTTTCGCATGCCAAGGCTTCGGCCACTCATCAAATCATTGCAATCACACGCCAAAATGTGTTAAATGCGGCAACAACCACGAAACAAAAACCTGCTCAAAAACCGCAGATCAACCACCTAAATGCTGCAATTGCGGTGGCCCCCACACGGCAAACTACCGCAAGTGCCCAGCGTACATATCTGCTATGGTTGAAAAACAATCAAATCCTACTCATCTAAAATCAAACCACATCGCTCCAGTACCTTCAGTTACAGAATCAAAGACATCACCAAAAAACACTCAGTCAATCTCTTCATATGCATCAATCACATCAAATAAACAACCGGAACCAACAGTTACAATCCCGAAACAGTTTTTCACAAACCTCCTAACCGAGGTAATTGGGAAAATTTCTGAATCACAAGACATCAAACAAACAGTTATGACGGCTATCTCGGCCATAATCTCCATCATCAACCACCATGAATAGCTCCCTCCGGATCTTATACTGGAACTGCCAAGGTATAGGAAACAAACGCCTTGAACTTATCCAGCTGATAAATCAACTAAAAATAGATATTCTTCTCCTAAACGAAACGCATCTTCATCACAAGAAGTCATTTAACATCCCAAACTTCCACACCTACACAAACAACCGTATCAACTCAGGACAATCTAACTGTGGAGGCACAGCAATCCTCATCCACCACTCTATCACTCATTCTTCAACATATATCAATACTATCTCAATTGAAAACACCACTATTCTTATTCAATATAACGGACGCGAGATTAGACTTAGTGCTGTATATAAAAGCCCCGGTTCAACCTTACTCCACACAGACCTAGACTGCCTACTCAACCCAAACACATGTGTTATCGTTGCGGGAGACCTAAATGCCAAACACCCATTATGGCATAGCAACACCACAAACACAGCTGGATCAAGTCTATTCAACCATATGGACCAAAATGACTATTTTGTGACAGCTCCCATAACTCCAACTCACTTCCCTGATAACCATAACCATAGGCCGGACGTATTAGATGTAGCTCTAATGAGAATTGCTAACATGCAATTCGATATCGAAAATCTGAACGAACTATCATCAGACCACAATCCTATACTACTAAATGTATACAGCCAATCATTTCCTCAACCATTTAAAACAATAAAGCTAATAAATTGGAAAAATTTCTCGGTTAACCTCCACGAATCCATAACTAACCCAAATCCACCTATCAACACAGTAACAGACCTCGATCAAGCCGCAATTGAAATAGCCGAATTATTCAAGTCAGCACTCTCAGTCAACTCTACCACTCGCATTTGCAACCCTCACAAGGACCTTCCTAAAGCCATCAAAATCGAAATCACTAAGAAGAAAAGACTTCGTCGAATATGGCAACATACAAGAAATCCTGATGCAAAACGCCGACTGAATATACATACTGAAGTAGTTCGTGAATTGCTTCGAGTCCACCGCGAAGAAGAATGGAATAATCTACTAGATAATCTGAAACCAAATGACCCTAAAGTATACAAAATCGCTAGAAGCCTAACACACAAGCAAGCGGCCACAGAACCCCTTCTCGGCCCATACGGTCTTATCTTTGATCAAGAATCCAAATCCGAACTATTTGCTAACTCACTTGAAACCCAATTCACCTGCCCAGCTGGTGACATCATGACTACTTCAATGGTAAAGGAGAAACTAAAGATCCTCAATCAATCCTATCCCCCAACAATTCAACACATTACTCCAAACGAAGTCAAATCCATCATAAAAACCCTTCCGAGGAAGAAAGCACCAGGCCCGGATGGGATACCCAATACAGCCCTGCGACATGCATCTAACCGCACTATATTGCATCTCACCAAAATCTTCAACAGCTGCATACGTCTATCACACTTCCCTAATGCTTGGAAACATGCTAACGTGGTCATGATTCCGAAGCCGGGGAAAAACAAATCAGATCCAGCAAACCATCGACCCATCTCATTACTCAACACAATGTCGAAACTGTTCGAGATTCTTATACTAAAACGACTCAAGTCATACGTTTCCCCCTACATCCGACCGGAGCAATACGCTTTTCGCCCAGAACATTCTACAACAATCCAACTTACAAAACTTGTCGACGATCTGGCAATCACCTTCAATAGAAAGGAAAGAACAGCGGCAATCTTTCTAGACTTTGAAAAGGCGTTTGACAAAGTCTGGCATCAAGGCGTTCTATACAAACTCCTAACCTTAAATGTACCAGTCCAACTTGTAAATCTGATCAAAGTCTTCTTAACAGATCGAACATTTTCGGTTAAACTAACAACAACGTCATCGTCCCCTCGGAACATTAAAGCCGGTGTCCCACAAGGTTCCTGCCTGTCCCCATTACTATTCAGTATTTACATCAACGATATACCAACGAATCCCGGGATCAAAATCAACCTCTTCGCAGATGACACAATGTTCTTCTACTCAAGTATGAGTAAAAAGTTTGCCATGGAAAAAATCCAATCCCAATTAAACAGATCGTTATCCTGGCTGGAGAGATGGAGGATATCGATCAACCCTAAGAAGACGGTCGCAATACTGTTTGGCGATAAAACGTCAAAAGACTTGGGAGAGCTCCTTGTAAACAATCACCCAGTACCCTGGAGCCAACAGGTTAAATATTTGGGAATAACCATGGACTCAAGACTGACGTTCCACAAACACGTTTTGGCCATCCAAAAAAAGACCAGGCAAATCAGGGCTGCACTCTACCCCTTACTGAACTCTCGAAGCCACCTCTCACTCCGTCAGCGATTAACTCTACACAAATTATACATCATACCAAACCTAACATACGCAGGACCAGCTTGGGGCGCTCTAATCTCAAATCGAGACTGGAGGCGTCTCGAGGCGGTCCAAAATATATCGTTAAGAACAATAACAGCGTCACCCTGGTTTATAAGGAACACCACAATTAGAAATTCATCAAACATCGACTCTCTCCAAAACCAAATAATCAGGGCATCGAAGATCATGTTCAACAAAACAAAAACCTCCAATCACCAACACATCAAATCCATCGGCCGTTCCAAGGCCACTATCCAGTGGAAAAGGAATAGACCTGAAAATATAATGTAATACTCTCCAACATACCTTCTACTCCAAGGAATGGGTACACCCCGAAACTTGTGTTAAATGGGAATATTCCCCTCATCCAAAGCAAGGCAAGGCGGTCAAATCATCTTCCACACCAGTCTTCAACATCTCTTCTACAAGTCAACAAACACTTTAGAAGACCCGAAGACCTGAAGACCCGAAGACCCGAAGACTAACGACGCAGCAGCAACACCGACCTGAACGACGCCGGCGAAGCTGATTCGACCTAGCCAGTCCACGACGACGCACCCTGAACACACCGGTCTAACGTGATCGCTCGATACCGCCGAGACTCAACAGTACCCGGTATACCTGGCTAACAAGCGCCACTTCACGGACCGACGACACCAAGCCTACCGTGTGCATCCAGCAATCGACGACAACGGATAGCCGCCACACCGGGACCTGATTAACCCACCGACGGCAGCGTATAATATAATTATACTCCGACGATCCACTACTGTCAGTCCACCCGTTCAATCGAGTCCAGTCACGCCGTTGGACGAATATCAAGACACGCCGGGAACCGACTTTGTGACTTGGCCAATCGACTATTCAGCAAGCCAATACAAGTAATACCACGTTCCCCCCCTACGGTGAGCTTATTCGAGTTTCACCGCGAGGAAGAACCGAACCCACACGACTTGCTCGAGTCCGTGCACGGACGGTTCCTACTCTCCCTTATCATTATTGTATTCTTTCTACGAAACGTATAGGCAAATCCCGACTATTGTTTTGCTCGCGCCTCTTCAGGCCCGAACCCGCCCGCCGCGGCCGCTTCTTCAAGCCTGCCGCGCGGCCCGGGATAACTTGCCCCGATCATTATAAACATTATTTAGTGATTATACAATAAACGATACTATAACGATACATAACGCATTGTTATTCACGATCACGGACGTCCCGGAAAGACGCTCCGTATCAAGTAATGTGTTAATACTATGTTATAATGACAAGGCTTAAAGATTAAACATGTGGTAGAATTAATATAATAGCATTTAATTTACAGTGTATACAATTTCATTTATTGGGAAGTCTGGACCCTATCTGGATCCTTTTATTTAAAAATGTATCATTATTTTAACTTTTAATTATAGACTCAAAAGTGATGTACTTTTTATTAATTAATAATTACCTATTGTTTTATTTGGTATTCCATTATTTCGAATTGTTTGGACATACTTTCAAAAATATCATCCATTTTGTTTAAATAATTTATTTCTGTAATATAAACATTCAAAATTAACTTCAGGTGGTATTGTTTCCATGATATAATATTTTAATTTTACTTTAAGAAAGGCAGTGTAATATCCAAGTATATCCAACAATATTTTTTACAAATATCCATTTAAAACTGTATCATTTGTATTGAAATTATAAAAATTTATTATTATTTGGTTGTGCTTTATCTTGTTATAAAAGAATATTTTTTATTATACTCCATTGGACAAGAATTTGGAATAAAAAAAAATATGATTTGTTAAAACCTTTTTTTATTTCTTATGTTCTATTTTCCATTTGGTAAAACCCTTTTCTTATTTCATTTGCACAGTCTTTATTTTATTTTAATAGTTTAATTAATTTTTCGATTGTAAGTGAAATTAATATTTTTATTCATATTAATAATTGTATTAAATTATTATATTATATTTTATGTTAGTTAATTATTCCAATTCAACATATTTAATTTAAATAGCATATTTTTTACAATACCTACCTATAATTTTTTTTTTTTAATCTGACATACCTATGAATAGTCGTGCTATTTAACTACTTGTGAAGTATACGATAATATGTTATAATATGCATACAATATTAGTGTGATATAATTTATTTTTAATGATAAATCACTAGTTCAGGCTAATTCAAAAAATTATTACAAACCAGATAAGTACCTACTACCTACCTAATAAAACTATTTCCAAAAACGTTCAGACAATTCGAAAAATTAATATTTATATTAAATAGAATCAGCATTTATTACAATTTATATATACAACTTATTAGTTATTCAATAAAACTATAGTTCAAATAATGCCCAGTGGGTGACTTCTTTTAAAAATTGTGCTCATTATTTTTTCTCATATATAATATATGGCCAATAGCATAATATATGCTTTTTGTGCCTCTAGGCACAGAGTTATAGATCGTAAAATACATTAAAACAATATATTTTCCTAATACATTAATATTTTTTAACTAGAAAAAATAAATGTTCACGATTTTAAATTCATAAAATAAAGTTTATGCAATCTCACGCTTGTTATTATTTATTTTTAATATTGATAATACTAATGGTTTTACAAACATTTACAACAATTACACAACACGAAAATATTCAATTATTATTTATAATAGCATTTTTTTTTTTTTTTTAAATATTCATCTTCCTCGGAAAATATAGAATATAAAAAATACAATTTTACAAAATGTTTAAGTAACGAAATATTTATTTTATTTTTTTGTAATAACAATACGCCATAATAGTCATATTATATTAATAATAACAATACTTAAGCTGTTGTACATAAATATTTTAATAACGACCATAATTAGTTTTTAATGGAAGCGATGTTTGATAAATTTTAGCATGTCTGTCAAATAGATAAAAGAAATAATATACGAAACGAAAGTTTTTATTCAGAACGAGCATTTTTAAACGAAAAATTACATTAATAATGTCTGACATAGTTCAAAAGCTGTGAAAAAGACACCATAGTATCTTCCGCGATTTGACTGAACTTTACAGACAGACGTTTTTGAAGAAAATATTTGATGTTGTATTATAATAATAATAAATGAATACATTTTGTCAAAAATATATGATAAACAGCACATGAGGCAATCGTATATTAGTTTACAGAGATACTATTTTTTTTAAATATATTTTTTTTTCAAAAATATATCAATTTGATAAAAAAAAATCGACAACAATACTTTTGAAAAAAAAAAAAAAAAATGCCTCTTTATGTATAAGAAAACTAGTTAGCCAATCAGTAAAGAATGAACGACTATAAAAATAATTATAACCAACGAAATTATCGTTCTTACTGTTATAAAATATAACTGATAGGTACCTACTGCTGTGACACCACGACACGCCATTTATATTTGTGTAATATTAAAATAAACGTTCAGAAAAGTGTTTTATTTTTATATGCCTTTGCGTATCGTAATAAAATATTCTTTAATATTAAAATTTAACATGGAATTCAGAATACAACGAATATTATTTTCTGAAGTTGTGCGTGTAAAAAGCAAATAATACAAAAAAAAACTTTCGGTATAATACGTCCCATCACAAAAAAGAATCAATATCAAATATTTAGACTGTATAACACAATATTATAATTTATAATAATAAGATACACAAATTATGTGATGTTGATAACTTATATACTTTTACTAAATTTAAATCTTTTCTCTGGATTCCGATCAAAGTATTGAAAATATTGGTGTGTAAGAGCTAGTAAATGTGTGTGTCTCTTTATAAAAGTTATATGTACTATCTACCAATTACAAATTAAGACTAATAGGTATTTTTAAGAGGTAGTTTTTTGATTTTAGCATAATAGTTTAATACCACTCATATTCAATGGGGAACAGACAACTGTAGAAGATATTAAGGATGTAATATTATAATAAAATCAAACGGTTTTTACTGAATATCGATAAGAACAATTGTTTTTGTATATTGGTGATTTAATATAACAATAGTAAACAACTATGTAATGCATTCTGACAGGATTTTTTTTGTTTTTAATATACAATTTTCACCGATATCTAGTTTGTTTGCCCGATTTTGTAGAAGAAATCTACTTATACAAGAAACTCACTATCGTATAATATTACTCTATATACTCTGAATATATATTATACCTACATAAACCGCTTGTTGAAAGAATATACGCTCGTCAAAGGATAAAAAAGTATGAATTGAACATTTTGAATAACCAGGTCGAGTGGTCTTGCGATACCCAAACAGGGGTTATTTCCAAAGCTTATTATGTACAAGTTGTTAATTTTAATACGTATACTGCACCGTTTACACAGCGTGCCTAAAACAACGAACACAGTTTAAAATTTGTTACCGTTGCGCTTCTATACATCTGAGAAATACCTTGAACCAAATATCTAAATATCTTCACCGTTGAGAATTCTACAATGTTGTTCGGAATATAATATATTATATGTTTCGATAAAGTTTCAAAGTAAGTATGACTATATGAGGTAGGTATAATTACGTACGTTTAATAGCAGCTTATCCGTTAAAAAAAGGATTCTAGAGGATTGATGACTTTAGTCAACATTTTAACTTAAAACGCTTATAATAAAAATTGTGACTGTATTTCGATATTTTTTACTCACAAGCAAAAATTGTATCATACATCATATAAGTAAGTAGGAAAAAACTCAGGAGATGGAAATTTAATTCTAAAATGTAGCACAAAAATATCCAAAATATTTCAACAGTTTCGTGCCAGTCAACGTACTTGTAGCCTATACGCAAGGATGTGTGCTCATACTGTTCTTTTTATTATTTCAAATTTATACTAATTCTCATTTAAATTTTAATGATTTTAAGTGATACTCTTATATTCAGGAACCTAGAGTCTAAAGTTTCTGCGAATATTACTGCCCTAAGTGCATTTTGCCTTAAACCATTCCCCGAAAACAACATTTTTTAGTAAAGAGAAATCACACATGAACAATCAATATTATTAATGAACATAAAACAGAACTTCACACTCTATAAAAGCCAGTAGTGTACTGGTTAAAATTATAAATCATAACAACATTATACATCAATCTGATAAGGAAAATACTACTAATGATGTAGTTATAGATATAAACGATATCTTCAATTTCAACTGGACACAGGTCGTTTCGTCTAAATTACATATTAAACCTCTAAATTCAGCCCAACTATGCCTGTGCGTACGGAGGTATATTGTCATACCAAATCCCAATAAACCTTCATT